AAATCAACCACTAAAACATTTGCTTTTAGGGGCCAGAGTGATAGTGTAGCAGATAGCGTGTGTGCCTTGCATGTGGCCTACCCAGATTCGACCCCCAACACCCCATAGGGTCCCTTGGGCACTGCCAGGAGTAAGCCTGAGTGCAGAGCCAGGAATAAGCCCTGAGCACCCCCAGATGTGGCTCCCCAAACCAAAGCAAAACGTAACTCACTTTTAATTCCCCTTCCCCAGCCCCCTTCTCTTCTCGTTCCTGTGGTGTCTGGGGTTGCCGTGCACCTGGTTCTGAGGCTCCTTCACTCGCACTATGGTGCTCGCGGGGAGGCCGCCCAGCAGGGTCTGAGGCTCACGCAGCTGCCTGGCGTCTCCTGAGGTTTACTCTCCTTCAGTCGCGGTGCTTGTGCACGGGCTTGCCGGGGCTCCCACCCCACATTTTTAGCTGGGAGTAGAACTTTATTTAAACCCTTTGATTACAAAGTTGCTCACAATGCAGTTGTTTCAGGAATTCAATATTCCAGTCCAGTCCCACCACCAATGTGACCTTCCTCCACTAGTGTCCCCAGCTTCCTACCCATCCTCCAAACCTTCTCCCTTAGTGGGTACACAATAATCTACTTCACGTTGCTTGTTACTACATACATCTTGAAACGGTGTTGCTAAAGTCCTTGTCTGAGGATTTACTGAGCTGTTAGGGGTGAGTTGGACCTTTTGGGTCATTGTTTTTGCTCACTGAATAGTGGGCTTCTACTCAATTTCCCCACCTAATTTCCCTTGCTTGTCCTGGGCTGTCAGGTCTATGAAGGTGTTGTGCGGCCACATATGTGACTGCATGCTTTGGGGACTCCAGAGCTGGGTTGATCAGAGCAGGCAGCTCCCTGAGACCACTAGGACCTCCCACTCTTAATGGAGGCCCACGGGTGATGCTTGTGGTACTCCCAAGGTCCCTTGTGCTGGTCAAACATGTGCTTGCTCAGGGCCATGGTCCTCAGCTCTGTTTTCTGGTTGCGGTGCTCATGGTGGCGCAAGCCCTTTTTGTTGTGCTGATAACGTGCCTCTTGTGACTGCAAATCACTTGTGGTGCCAGAGGTCTCAGATAGAAGAATGTCACATATAAAGGACAGGGGGAGTTGAAACTTTTGACTATGTGCTTGCAAGGCAAATGCTGGAACACTATTCCTCTGGTGCAGAATTAACTCTTTTTGTGTGTGTGTCGCACCCAGCAACGCTCAGGGGTTCCTCCTGGCTCTGCACTCAGGAATTACTCTTGGCGGTGCTCGGGGGGACCCTGTGGGATGCAGGGGATTGAACCCAGGTCAGCCATGTACAAGGCAAACGCCCTCCCTGCTGTGCTATCACTCCGGGCCCAGAATGAACTTTTGATCTTATTGGCTCTACCCCCAACGATCACCCCGGCAGTGCTTCAGGGGACACCTGCAGTGATGAGGATGGGACAGGGATCACTGGCAGAGCAAAGTGCCCAGCTGGTGTACTCTCTTTCTCGTCCCCAAAATGGAAATTTTTTTTATTACCATAAACTGAGCTTTGGGCTGGAGCGATAGCACAGTGGTAGGGCGTTTGCCTTGTGCGCAGCCAGCCCGGCCGACCCAGGTTCGATTCCTCCACACCTCTCAGAGAGCCGGCAAGCTACCGAGAGTATCTCACCCACACGGCAGAGCCTGGCAAGCTACCTGTGACGTATTCGATATGCCAAACACAGCAACAACAAGTCTCACGATGGAGACGTTACTGGGCCCGCTCGAGCAAATCGATGAACAATGGGAGGACAGGACAGTGTTTAAACTGAGCTTTCTTCACGGGTTTGACAATTTTTCTCCGTGGCTATCACTAGAAAGGCCCTCGTGCCGCTTTCGTCTCTCTTGGATGCTACGTCTCACATTCCCACCACCCCTGTGGGTCTCACTTGCATTCTTCAGTTTGCTTTTGGTTGACCAAAGAGAGGATTTTTTGACCTCTGGGAGTTTGTTTCTTTGGCACTAAAGTGCATGCTCTCCTGGGTACTTGAGACTATGCTTGATAAGTTTTAGAGACAGCTCAGAGGCGTGCCTGGAAGCCCTCCAGGTCTAATCGCTGGCACTGCCAGGACTGGCCCCCAGACAAAACAAAAGAAAGTTTTTGTTATGCAAATGCCTCAGAGACCTGGGCCCTATGCAAACAGGATGAGAATGCTATTGGGGTCTCCCAAAGAGGAATCCAAAGAGCTATGCTTGGAGTAACACGTTTCACTCAAATGAGAGAAAGAATCCGGAGTTCCGACCTCCATCAACGGTCAAGAATCAGGGATGCCGTCAGATGGGCTGGACACGTAATGAGATTTGGAGATGACCGCTGGACTAGAGCCGTTACCGACTGGATTCCACGGGATGTCAAAAGACCGCGTGGCTGCCCACCTACAAGATGGTCAGACTTCTTCGTCAAGACCCTGAATGATCGGTTTGAGGCTCTTCGTGTTCCTAGAACAAGCAGACGCCATTGGGCTACACTAGCATGCGACGAATGGAGATGTTACTGGCACCCACTCGAGCAAATTGATGAGTAACGGGATGTCAAGTGATCAAGTGGTGCAAATGCCTACAACCACCTCTCATTCCCAAACGGACCCCCTTGTCCCCTTCTCTTTCCCTCCCAGCTCCTGGACTGTCCTTGGGGAGCGGGTTGGGTGCTGGTGCTCCCAGTGAGCCCAAGCAGGGTCCCTGGAGAGGGAGGTCTGGGGTGTGGGGGACACGGCAGAGAGAGCTGGGAAGCTGGAGACATCACAAAGACAAACTCACTTTATTGATAAGGCAACAGCATCATACAGGGCTGAGGCAGACACCCCACGAGGCTGAGGGCCCTGAGGGGGACGTGGGGATGTGGATTCACATTGAGACACAGGCCGAGGTCCCTCCTCTTGAAGGCTCAGCCGGGGGACAAGGCAGGGAAGTTGAGCGTGAGGTACTCCACCTGCTCTTAGACCCAGGGGACCAGGTCAGCCACCAGATGGCAAACTCCAGGCTGCAGCCAGAGTCCACCCGCTGGTCTCTTAGCGACGCCATGGGGGAGTCACACAGCGGGCGTCGGTGCCCCTTTCTCTAACCAGGGGCTCAGCTGCTCTCCTCCGACCCTGGATTTCCCAAACTTATTTGGATCCGTCCCTACCTCCTTTCAAAAAACACCACCTGAGTTTTTTCCCCACTGGAAATCGACATTCTTTAAGCCAACAAATCAAAAGTGCTCCCTGGTTGTACCCAAGGCTTCTTATTGCTGCCCCCGAATTGTTCCCGTACACCCCCCGCCCCGCCCCCTGGGCTGGTGTCATCCACTTTGGGAACGGGCGCCCCTGAAGAAGGGCAAGCCGGACTCACGGACCCATGCGCTCTGCCGCTACGATTCAGCAACACGGGGGGCTCTGTGATCTGCAAGCTGGCAACAACCATCATTAAGGTGCAGAATTTTCTTTCACAATGTAAGTTTCCCCCATAAATGCTCCTGAGGAGTGGTTGCTTGTTCTGCGGGAATGGAGGACACAGCGAAGGTTGGCTCCGGAACAGCGCAGAGGTGACAGGCACCGGGGCCAGCTCTGCGGGCTTGTCAGAAGGAGCGGGGTTGTCAGTGGTGCCCACCCAGAGGGACCCAACCCCAGGGCCACGGGGCCCGTGGCAGCACTCGCTCCCGGTCCCGGGCTCGAGGAACAGCAGGTGCAGGTACAGGGGGTTTCCAGGGCAGCAAAAGAGCCCCTTGTTGGGAGAGCAAACACTGGTGTGGCTGCAAGGGAACTTGGGACTCGAGGGACCCTCTTGGCTCTGGAGATACGTAGGCATGCCTCCTCACGCTCAGCCGGGCACGCTGCCTGGAAGGATGGCTGGGTGGTCCCACTGTGGGTGGGGCCGGTTCTGGGGAGCACGGGGCTTGGACGTAAGGGACCCCTGCCCCCTGGCTGAGCCTCGCAAGCCCCTCTGCCCTCGGGATGGCAGAGTAAGGAGGAGGGCCTGGTCCCGTGGCCGGTGGGCTGTGCCCCCGTGCCCCAGAAGCTTGGCCAGGGCCAGGCCCCTCTGGGAACTACAGCCAGGTGGGCCGGGCGAGGGCGGCGAGACCTGCGGCCCTGCTCCTCCGTCCTGCTGTTTGCTGGGAGCACTGGGCCCTGCGGGGTGTCAGGCGCAGACACGGCCACTCCAGGCTGGTCCTCTCTCCCCGGGGTGGGAGGTGAGCGTGAGCAGCGGGGGGAAGGCCGTGTCCAGGCAGCTCCATCCTGCCAGAGCGTCCCCGGAGGACGAGCTCCCGCTCGGACTGGCCACTTGGACTGGGCTGAGGAGCTCCGTGCGGCCACCCCAGCCTGGGTTCCACTTTCTTCCCTCCTTGGGCCTCTTGGAAGGTGGGTGCTGGTCCGGGCATGGGGAGAGAGGCCCCCCTTATCGAGCTGCTTCTGGGACAGGGCCACCGGGCTGATGGGTGAGGCGGGCACTCGTGGGCCGAGCAAGTGCTCTTTGTCAGCAGAAGTGGCTGGGTCGCTTGGGTCATTCTGGGCAGTGAGCGGCAGGCCGGCCCAGGGTGCGGGAGAAGCGCCCAGCCCGCCCCATGCTCAGGTGGCCACTCCGGAGCCTACCCGCACACACGAGCCATGGGATGGGGGGGTACAATCTAGGGGGTTATCTAGTGCAGAGTGCGAGGGGAGGGCCCCTGCCAGGCCCTGGGGATGTGGGCCTGCAGTGAGGGCAGGTTCAGGGCTCGCTGTCCCCAAGAAGGGGCCCCTTCTCCCGCCTGCTGCCTCAGAGCCGGCCTCTTCCGCCACGGAGGGGACGCCCCTGGCAAGACCACTCCTCCCCGCCAGCTCTGCCCCCTGCACCCGTCTTCTCTGCCAGCACACAGGCCTCGAGGGACCGGGAGGCCCATGGTCCTGGGGCGTCTGCTGTTAGGTCGGGCAGGAGAGAGGAGGGGCCAGGCAGGGGCGGGAGGAGCACAGCCCCCGAGCGGGCGAGGACTGCGGGGCCCCGGCCAGGCCTGGGCACCCAGTCCCCGAGGGGCAGCCCCGCCCGAGTCAGGAGATCTCGTTGCCGAACACCTCGAGGACCAGGGGCGTCAGCTTCATGCTGCACTCGGGCTGGAAGGAGAGGCTCCGGTACTGCTTGGAGTGCTCCTCGTTGAGGCTGCGCAGGTCGGCCAGCTTCTGGATCATCTTGGCGTAGAGCTGGTGGCTGCCCGGGGGCGGGTGGCGGCAGCGGATGTAGGTCTGCAGCGTGTTGGAGAGCCGGTCCTGGATGGCTTCGACCAGCGCGGCGTCCTGCACCCCGGGGCGGTCTGCGGCCGGGAGGGGTTGGGAAGGGCACAGCTCTCTCGGGGTCCGCGGCCCCCTCCTCCCTCCCACGCAAAGCCCTGGCAGCGTCCTTGACGTCCCCCTCCTCCGGGACCGCTACCTCGGGGTCACACTCCCCTCTGGAGCTGCTGCCCACTGCACTCAGGACCCAGCCCCAGGTTCCTCTGTGGCGGGGGTCGCCTCACCTCCCCGGGGCTGCCTTTCTGCCAGGATCTGAAGACACTCTCAAGTCGGACCCCGGGCTCAGATTTGTGTGGCCTCTGCCTGGAACTCCACTCTGCTATTTCCACCCACCTCTGCCCCTTCCGGTAACAGCTGAAGGACTGCGCTCAGGAAGGCCATCCCAGGTGACTTCCCTCCGTCCTTCGTACACCGCTGCAACGGGGCCCTTCCTTCATTATTTTTTTTTAAATTTTTAAGGTAAGGTAAAGGTAAAGGCCCTCCCGTTGATTGTCGATTTGCTCGAGCGGGCCCAGTAACGTCTCCATTGGAGACTTTGTTGTTACTGTGTTTGGCATATCGAATACAGCATGGGGAGCTTGCCAGGCTAAAATTTTTTTTCCTTTTTTGGATCATACCCAGCGATGCACAGAGGTTACTCCTGGCTCATGAACTCAGAAATTACTTCTGGTGGTGCTCAGGGGACCATATGGGATGCTGGGAATCGAACCCGGGAGGACCGCGTGCAAGGCAAACGCCCTACCCGCTGTGCTATCGCTCCACCCCCCCCGTCTTTATTTATACCCTGCTAAAGCATCACATATTTCTTTTAAAAACTCTCATAGCATTACAAATAGTCCTTAAATACTATTTGTTTAATGTCTCCTCCTACGCTTTATGGGAAAACATCTGTGTCCTGTTTGCTGTTGAATCCCTAGGCCAGGCAGAGAGCCAGGGACCTCAGCACTTCTCAGTCAGTCTTTGTTGAGTTGGATGAATGAATGCTAGCTGGGCAGTGGGGAGAAGCGCCTGGATCTTCCTTAGAAAAGACCTGAAAAGCATCCCCTGTTTGTGACCACTCACTTGATCCCTGAACGTAGTCCAAACCGAGGTAGGGATGGTCCCTTGGATCTTTTTATTTATTTATTTATTGGCTATTTTTGGGTCACACCGCGATGTTCAGGGGTTACTCCTGGCTTTGCACTCAGGAATCACTCCTGGAGGTGCTCAGGGGACCATATGGGATGCTGGGAACTGAACCTGGGTCGGCCGCACGCAAGGCAAACGTCCTATCCGCTGTGCTATTGCTCCAGCTCCCCCTTGGATCTTTTTCATTTTTAAAAATTTATCTTTTTTTTAAAGATGATATGGGTCACACCCTATGGTGCTTAGAGGCTAGTCCAGCTGGGCATTCAGGGATTGCTCTGGGAAGTGCTGAGTTACCGGGATGGCATCTGGTCTCCCAAGGGCCATGCACCCACCCTAGACCCTTGGTCTCCCCTTTCCCCACTCCGTGAGAGGGCCTGAGCCGAGGGCCTCCGATATGCACAGCATGTGCTCTACTGCTGAGCGGCACCCGGAGCCCTGGGATGCACCCACTTATGATCCCAGGATCATAACCTGCTCTCTCTCCTCCCCCCCAGATGGGCATAACAACTCCAGGGTTCCGAATCAGTCACGTAAACTGCCAGATAGCTTGTTTGGGAAGAGCCCATCTCTGAGGCCTTAGGGTTGCTCGGGAAAGTGCATTACAGCAACGCTTGACACTGCGAGCATCTAGGGCTGTGTGCAGTCCACGAAACCCACCTATGCTGGTACCCTACCTCGACCTGTAGTCTCTCAAAGGCATACAGCATGCACCAAACGGGCCAGTGACAAAACCAGGAAAGTGGATATTTCCAGTATGCCTGCCCTCTGCCCCCCACTCCATTCGGACATGCCCCATGCCCCGGAGCTTCCCACTGCCAGGCACTATACCTGGGGAGACGATGCAGATGGCCATGAGGAGGACGTGCTCCTCTTCATGCAAGTTCAGCTTCTTCAGTCCCACCTGGAACTTGATCAGGGGCTCTATCAGCTCCATACTGTGTCCAGCTGCAAGACAGAAGAGATAGAAGATGTGGGCAGAACGGAAGCATCACCCACCCCGTTACCCCCTTTCAACTCCAACTGGGTGTAACCACAACCCTCTTTCCTTGTTGGCACCCAGGCCCTTCCCAGGTGCTCCGTTGAAGCCAATGATCCGAATGGGGGGTGAAGCCAGAGTCTGGGAGCTAGAGAGGGGGAGGAAGGCCAACCCCAGACGCACCTTTGGTCACATCAGTGACACTGTACGTGTAATCCTGGTTGCCACAGGTCCAAGACATGTCGTCCATGGTGAAGGACTCATTGGAACGCAGCATGATGACCTCAATGGCACTTGACTTCAGCAGCACAATCTGGTCATCAGAGGTGAGGTCTCTGCCAGGGGGAAGGGCAAGGGGTCACATAGGGGTCAAAAGCGTTCCAGTTACGCGCATCAATGCAGTTTCCACAGGTGGATATAGAGCACATGAGCAGCATATGCCAGAGATGACCGGAAGCAAGGTGGTTTCTTTTCTTTTTTTTTTTCTGCTTTTTGGGTCACACCTGGCAATGCACAAGGGTTACTGCTGGCTCATGCACTCAGGAATTACTTCTGTCGGTGCTTGGGGGACCAGATGGGATGCTGGGAATCGAACCCGGGTCGGCTGCGTGCAAGGCAAATGCCCTACCCGCTGTGCTATCACTCCAGCCCCACAGGGTTGTTTCTTTTTTTATTTCTTTTATTTATTTATTTATCTATTTATTATTTAATCACTGTGGGAAAAGTTACAAAGCTTTCAGGTTTAAGTCTCGGTCATGCAATCATCAAACACATTTCCCTTCACCAGTACTTATTTTTCACCACCAGGAACCCCAATAAACCCCCCTCCCAACCCTCCCAAAGCCTGTGAGGCAGATAAATTGTAGTTAACACTCTATCTACTTTGATTAGATTCACTGTTTCAGCAAAAGATGCACCATTATTATTTAGAGTTTACACTCCAAAATCAGACCTGCTGGAAAGGCATTGTGAAATAATTTGTTTTCTACAGCTGGTTACAAAAACCAAATGCTGTTGCGCAGCTGCTATTGTGGCCACGCGATTTTGGATTTCTGATGTTTTACTTATTAAGCCTGGAAGTATTTCTGCCGAGAGTCACATATTTATAAGATCGGTTTCTGTGGCTCTAGAGCCATGGCCGTGCCCGAGAGCCGCTCGTGGGGGCAGCTCGTGAACAATGTTGTTTCTTAAGGGAGAAAGACTTAAGGTTGATGACGCCAAGGAGAGAAGTGAAGCCGCTCAGCTGCTGACACATAGTTTTTTTTGCAAGGATCTCCCAGATCTAAGCAGCCAGATCCATTGGAAACTAAGAGTAGAGCCTGCGGACATTTGCGGGGTTATGGGATAAAAACGGTCTACCAAAGGGATGGCCAGAGGCCCTTCTATCTTTTTTTTTCTTTTTGGGCCCTACCCAGCGATGATCAGGGGGTTCCTCCTGGCTCTGCACTCAGGAATTACTCCTGGCGGTGCTTGGAGGACCATAAGGGATGCCAGAAATTAAACCTGGGTTGGCCACGTGCAAGGCAAACGCGCTACCTGCTGTGCTATTGCTCCGGCCCCATGTTTTCCTTTCCTCTGCCTCCTTGTGATCTCTGATCCTTCCCAGGACTAAAGCTCTACCAACCTTATCACCCAAACATCTCTGGATCCCTCCATATAAGCCTCATTCTCACCAGATCCGCTCTGCGTCAGAGCTGCATCATAGTCTCCATAGTTTCTCAGAGAAGCCTGGAGTTGAGTCTCTCATTCGCAGTTGCTGATTCTCCCGTGCCCAGAAATCCTCACTGACTCTCAAACGCCCCTAAACAGAGCCCGAACTCCAAAACTCGGCCAGTTTCTCAGCGCTTTGCCTACCCCATCAACACTCCGTTCCAGCAACACCAGACTACTCAGCATTCAGATGCTGTGTGTCCTCACACCGCCAAGCCTTCTGAGCACACTGCATTTTCAGCAAGAATGTCTTTCTCTTGCTGCATCTCTGTTTTCTGGCCTTCAGTCTAGTGGGGGCTCCTGTGGTGTTTCCCTGTGAGTCTCCTACGAAGAATCAGAGCCACTCTGTTATTGCCCCTGGGTCTCATCTGCACTCACACTTTGCCTTTTCCACGTCAGCTCTAGTCCTTCTCTGCTTGTCTCTGACTCAACCTACATCAGCTGGAGGTCAGCACCACCTCTTAATCACCTTTATGTTTCCCGCATACTGAACTTTGATCCCTGAGAACAGTGAGAATATCAGAGGTTAATAACTAGCTGCTCTATTCTGAGTCTTGAGCTGGGTTTGTCAGCAGAAGGTCACGGTCACGGTCCTCCCATTGTTCATCGATTTGCTCGAGCGGACCCAGTAACGTCTCCATCGTGAGACTTGTTGTTACTGTGTTTGGCATATCGAATACGTCACGGGGAGCTTGCCAGGCTCTGCCATGCGGGCGAGATACTCTCGGTAGCTTGCCGGGCTCTCTGAGAGGGGCGGAGGAATCGAACCCAGCTCGGCCGGGCCGGCTGTGTGCAAGGCAGGGCCTCTAGATAGGGCCCTACCGCAGTGCTATCGCTCCAGCCCTTTGTCAGCAAAATGACAAGGAAAAAGCGAGCCCATAGACCGACTTGCTTCCATTTTCTGCCCTTTGTCCTCCACTGTACACTCCCCTGACCCCTCGGCCATCTGTAGAGTGGTCCCCTCTTTTCTCCATAGCTCCGAGTTGGCACATTAACAAATGGAAAGGGGATGTAAACTGTATGAAATGTTAACATGTTAACTGCATGGATGTTAACTGAGTGAAAGGACCGTATACTTTCTGATGCAGAATGAAAAGGTTTGCATGATTAGACTGACCATCAGCTGGTCTGCATTGAAAAAAATCACGAACTACCCAGTGGGAAGGGTTTATTAGAGGCCAGGTGGTCCAGTTTCTTCTACAAGATGCTTCCAGTGCCAAGATGCTTCTGGCCTCTAGATAGGGCCGTAGGAGATCAGATTTTGGTTGACAGTGTCCTCCACACAGCTTTCTTTCCTTTTTTTTTTTGCTTTTTTGGTCACACCCGGCAATGTTCAGGGGTTACTCCTGGCGGTGCTCAGGGACCCTATGGGATGCTGGGAATCGAACCCGGGTTGGCAGTGAGGAAGGCAAACACCCTACCTGCTGTGCTATCGCTCCAGCCCCGACACAGCTTTCTAACCCCACAACAATACACTGGCCCATTGCTTGCAGTTCTTTCTCTTAAGGAACAGACCAGACCCCTCCACTGACCAAGGGTCGACTCTTCAGCCACCCAAAGAAAGTTCCTGTTCCCTTCTTGCTTCTCCTGTAGTAGACAGGCCAAATGACACAGTGTCTGTCTGGAAACTTTACCATCCCAATCACTTCTCTCCAGATACTCAACCTGCATTTTTTAAAAAAAAGCCATCATCATCCTTAATTTGGCTTTAATTCATTATACAACTAATACATGGTCAATATTAACTCTTTGGAAAAATCTTGAAAAACCACAAAAGCAAATAAAAATCTCTCACAACCACAATGAACATTTTGGTATATTTCCTTCCTATCATTTTCTTACACAAATATACCTTTTTTATTCCTCCTCCAACATAATAAATAAAATAATTTAAAGTGTTCTAACATAAATTATATTTGTAATAATTCTGTGCCTCACAGCCTGCAGCATAATCATTTTCCTTCCTTGCTTCCTTTTTTCTTTTTTTCTCTCTCCCTTCTTCCCTTCCTTCCTTCCTTCCTTCCTTCCTTCTTTCTTTTCTTTCCAATAATACTGAAATTATCACTATGGAGATTTCTTTAGCCAGTTTACATGATCTGCATAATATTACACCACATCATCAACATACAATAAGATCAATTTCCCATTCACTGGAATTTTTTTTTTCTTTTAGGACTTTTGGTCATACCCGTGGTTACCCAGAGTCTCTCTTGGCTCCGTGCTTGGGGATTGCTCCTGGCAGTGCTCAGGGAATTCTGCAGTTCCAGGATAGAACCTGAGGCTCCTGATTGCAAAGCCAGATCTCCAACCTTTGAGCTGTCTCCCCAGCTCCCAGCAACACATTTTGGACATTTAGGCTATTTCTTTCTTTCTATTATAAGCGATTTTGTGAGAAATGTCTTTGCGTCTCTCCATCTGAGGGCAGGGGCCCCCCTCAAGTCCTCAGGCTCCCAGGGCCACCAGGGCTCTTCTTCGTGGTGCAGGGGTGCATGAGGAAGCCGGACCTGAACTCAGAGCCTCGCTCTCCACTCCCCGAGCTTTTTCCCAGGTCCCATCGCCGTTTTTTTTTCCCTTTTAAATGTCCTCTTAAAATGAATGGCCAGAAGTGAACAGCCAACATTCCATGGGTACTTGGCCAGAGAGATTCAAGTGGACCTCAATTAGCTTTCGTTGTCCAGACACGCTACTTCCATGAAAGAAAATCTAGCACCACCTCCAAGCACCATCCCCAGTACGGAAAGATAGAGACCGTCTGAGTGCAGCCCATAGCCCGGAACAGGGGATGGAGGGGCCTGGCGGCCGGGCTGGGGACAAAGGCGGTGCTCCCCTCCTCAGGAGACCCAGCCGCTTGGCATACTTGTCCCTCATCAGTTTCACCCCCGTGGCTAATTCTGGGACCCTGTGTTGTGCTCCAGAAACTTCTCATCTTTCCCATCCCAGCAGCGCCCAGGCCCTCCTCGCCCGGCTCCCACGGTTGGTCCCCAGCTCTCCTGTAAGGTGCTTATCCCTCCACAGCCATTGTGTGTGGGTCTGTGTCCTGCAGAGACGCGGGTCCCTCGAGGCGGTGGACAGTGTCCGAGCCACTTTCACCCTTTCCCGACAGCTCACAGAAGCCAACTGCTCCTTGTTAGACGAAAGGATGGACAGGAGGGAGGGAGAGAGGGAGGGAGGGACTCCCATTTCCCCCACCACCCCCAGTCCCTCCCAGCGCCAGGCTGTAGATCAAGGAAACCTGGACGGAAAGGGCAGTGCGGGGGGAGGGACTCGGTGTAGGGGCTGCCCCTGCCCTGCCTGGTCCTCACATGCTTCTCTCCATGGTGCAGCCCCAGCTCCCAGCTGGCTCCTGGCCACTGCAGTGCTCCTGGGATGCTGCTACCATTTCCTCCGTGCCTGAGGGAGGGAGGTCTGGGGGCACAGACTGAAGCTCTTAGGGTTAGGGTTTGGGTTGGGGTTAGGGTTGGGGTTAGGGTTAGGGGTTGGGTTGGGGTTAGGTTTAGGTTTAGGGTTATGGTTGGGTTAGGGTTAATCTTAGGGTTGGATTATGGTTAGGGTTAGGATTAGGGTTAGGGGTTGGGTTAGAGTTGGGGTGGGGTTAGGGTTAGGGTCAGGGTGAGGGGTTGGGTAGGGGTTAGGGTTAGGTTTAGGGTTAGGGGTTGGGTTAGGGTTAGGGTTAGGGCCAGGGTTAGGGGTTGGTTTGGGGTTAGGGCTTAGGTTGGGGTTAGGGTTGGGATTAGGGTTAGGGTTAGGTTTAGTGTTATGGTTGGGTTACAGTTAGGGGTTTGGTTAGGGTTAGGGCCAGGGTCAGGGTCAGGGTTAGGGTCAGAGAGTGGGTGGGAGTATTTGCTCACAGAGCTCATTCAGATGCACTTTCTGGCACCTGCCCTCTGGGAGTCCCAGCAGGCCCACCCTGCACTCCCCGCCCCCCTCACTCCACCCTCCCCACACCCTCCATCCCCACCTACAGGGACAAGATCAAAGCCAGCAGAGGCCTAGTAGCCTTCAGGGCGCCCTCATTTAGGAAATCAAGCACCCGCCCGCCTGCAGACCCTGACACCCACCGCAGCCTGAGCAGCAGGCCTGGGCGGGATCTGGTCCCGGCCGGCTCAGCAGCCCCCTCTGCTGGCCACAGGGAGCGCCTGCAGCAGGACCGCCCTGAAAGGGGATCTGGCTGCGGACCCGGAGGACACAGCCCGCCCTGCCCAGAGACCCCCCAAGCATTCTGGCATAAGTGCAACTGACTTTGCTTCAATAACTGAGCGGATCCTGCTTCTGACACTGCATTTTGGCCATGGTTATGGAACGAGACGAGGGAACAGGCAACGGGAGGAAATGAGGCTGGGAAGGTAAGGATGGGGGTAGACCAGTTTATTTTTGGGTGGACAAAGGGGCAGGGAGGGCTGTTTGGGTCAGGGCATATTGATGGTAAGGGGTGGGGGCCAGGACCTAGGGGGGAAATGGAGACTTGGATTACTTGGGCCTGCATTGCACAGTCTGGCTGAATGGCTCTTTTAGGGTAGTTTCCCCAAATGTGCAGTCCCGGCCACCACTTAGAATCCCCCGACCTCAGCATCTAGGCCTGTTCCCATCAGACGGGAAGGACGAGCCCGTGGGTGACTCCTCCTCCTTGGAACAAGGATGGAGGCCAGGGTGAGAGTGTGCCTGTCGGCACCTTGAAGTGATTTTTCTCAAGCTGTTTACACAAAACAAGACTTGGGAACACTGGAAGTCTGCAAACAGTCACAGGAAGAGTGGAGGAGAGTCAAGACTTGTACTAAATGGAATGAACTCTCAGTTCCAAGCGAAGGTTCTGGAGGGTAAGCCCCAGTCCCTGGGTGACGCTTGGTTCATGGGGACACTGTCATCCTTACTGCTAGAGTGGTCGGAACTATTTTTGCTGCGACCAAGATGTTCCCAGGTCGGCCGTGTGCAAGGCAAACGCCCTACCCGCGGTGCTGTCTCTCCAGCCCCAACGGTAAACTTTTAATACAGACTTCGTTTGGGGGCCACGCCTGGCGATGCTCTGCTGACGGGTTGCTCTCAGCAGTGGGAGACCATGGGGACCTGGGCATGTCCCCTGGGGCTCCCACATGCAAGACATCTTCCAGCCTTTTCTCTTTCTACTCCTGTCCCCTTTTAATGTAAATGTGAGCAAGGGGTTCCCAGGTGACATGAGTCAGCAAATCTCTCTCACGAGTATTCCTAAATTATTTTATAAATATTTCTGTGTTTTTTTGGGGGGCGTGGCGGGGACTGGGATTGTACTTCTGGCTATTCTTAGGACTTTCTCCTAGCTCTATGCTCAGGGATCACTCCTGGCAGGGCTCAGGGGAAAATGTGCAGTTCGAGGCATCAAACCGAGGCTGGCTGAGTACAAGGAGACCAACCACCCTACCCCTGCCCTATCTCTGCCACCCTACTTCATCAATCCCCACACCCTCTCTCCTCTCCATTACTTTGTTCTGGCTTCAGAACGGGGTACAAAAGATTATTGTATGTTTCGTTAATTAATACGTTTTGGGGGCCTTCCAAGCTGTGCTTAAGGGTCCTGGGGCTATTCCCAGTTGCGTGGTGCCAGACTGCCTGGAAGGGCCAATGCTAGGGCGTGGTGCTGGGCACAACCCGGGCCCAGCAACTGCAGGAGCTGCCTGAGCCAGACCCAGCAGGACTGGGGGTGGGGCTCCTGGTGTCAAAGGTCAAGTTCAGGTCTTCTGGCAGGCCAGGTTTGTGCTCTCGGCCCCTGAGCTATCTCTGCAGCCCTATTGTGGTTTAATTCGTATTCACTGTTATCACTGTATCACTGTCATCCTGTTGTTCATTGACTTCCTTGAGCAGGCACCAGTAACATCTCCATACATCCTAGCCCTGAGATTTTAGCAAGTGTCTACATTGGAGGCTCCTTCAGGGTCAGGGGAATGAGACCATCATTGTTACTGTGTTTGGGCATATTGAATACGCCACGGGGAGCTTGCCAGACTCTGCCGTGCGGGCAGGATACACTCGGTAGCCTGTCGGGTTCTCCAAGAGTGAGAACTAGACAACACTAGACAACACTCATAATTTATTAATTAGTATTCAGTTTCCTAATATGAGGGCTACATCCAACCTAACAGCAGACGACACGGCAGTGACCTGAAGAGTTTTAGCCTCTCTCTGACACCTCGCTCCAACACTAGACAATGGTCCTGGAGGGCCACTGAACCACTCTGGCTTCTGTTCTACCATCCAAAACACTGCGGACAATGGAAAGCTCTCCAGCGTGGGCCCGCAGAGCCGTGTGGCTGCACTTCCTGGGACGCAGATCCCGGATCCTGGGGTCTCCCCCCGAAATGACCTGATTCAGAACTGGGCAGGGCCCGAGTCTGGCTGGGGAGCAGTGATCTCTGAAGCTTCGTCCAGCTCAGCCTAGAGTGCTCACTGCTCCTCACACGCATCTTACCTGAAGCCTGGGATCATCTTGGCAAAGCCGATGACCTTCTGGATGCTGTAGCTGACCAGGTCGGCCAGGTGGGGCAGCATGGAGAGCTGAGATAGGTCCAGGGTGACGGAAGGGTCATCCGGGTCCTCTTCACCCAGGTCCAGGTTGGGGAAACCGCTCGGCTCCATCATGTCTGGGGCAGGATGGGGGGGCGGAGAAGAGGCTGCTAAGGACCTCTCCTACCTGCTCCTGCACCTGGAGCCACCCACAGCAGCCCTCCCGGCACAGTGCTCAGCCCAGGCTTCCCTCCGGCTGCTTCCGGCTGGTCTGTCCTCAGAGGGGGAGAGTCCCACCAGGAATCTGAGAGGCTTTGAAACAAGCTGACTGGGCCACCGATCCTAGTAGTTCCAAATCATTAGCTAATTTGGAACCAGGCAATGTTCAAACTCACGAGGGATCTAAGCACTGCCAAAGACCATATCCACATTCAAAACAATCTATAAATTAAAATCAAACATGTCTTTTTTCTTTTTGCTTTTTGGGTCACACCCGGCGATGCTCAGGGGTTACTCCTGGCTTTGCACTCAGGAATCACCCCTGGCGGTGCTTGGGGGACTATATGGGATGCTGGGAATCGAACTCGAGTTGGCCGCATATAAGGCAAACGCCCTACCCGCTGTGCTATTGCTCCAGCCCCCAAAACAAACATGTCTCAATGTTAACTCCCGTGTGAGAAAAGGATTCACGGAATCAGGCAAGCCTGGGGCAGTGCTGAGCTGCTGAAGGGAATATATAGTCGCGTGATCTTGGAAGTAATCTAGAAAGATATTTGGCAGGAGCATGGTAGGTCCTGCGATTTCTTACACTCTTTGACTTCCGTGAATTCATCACAAGGAAAAAAATTCAAAGTCACTACAGATACTGTCAACTTAATGAAAAGTGGGGAAACAATCCAGTTACTCAACAGTAGGGGGTTTAGAGACACTCTGGAGTATTTAAAGATGACGTCCCAGATAGACAATAACTGACATGGAAATTTGCTGCTATACTATTGAAAGATAAAAGCAAGCACCAGCCTTTGTATAACACAGTGCCATTTCCAAACATATGTGTTTAGAAAGGGGAAAGAGGCACATCACAGACTTCACAGTGATCATCCTTGGATGTTCACGTTTTTATTTTCTGACTATCTGCAATGAACATGGAGTCCTTTCTACAGTATTTTCTAAATTAAAAAGCGATTATGAATTTAAAAAAATGCTATAAAGAACAATTGGTGGGAGTGAAAAGGACCTCAAATCAACCACAACCAAGAAGGGGGAAAATTCCTAAATAAGTTAAAAGCTGAAGTTCATACTAGTGGATGGCATCACTGAAAACAAATACACCGTCAAGAGGAAAGAGTAAGAAGGTGGGTAGAGAAAACCAACACGTGAAGAGGTCCCTACCAGGGCAGGGCCTCGGAGGGACAGGCAGTCAGTGTAGCGGTCACTGCTTCTCGTGAGCTGCTGACCGCTTCTTTCCTGCTACACCTGGGTGCGTGGACACAGAGCGAGACTCCATCCCTCTGCCCGGCCGCCCGGCTCCTCCCACTTACGCTGCCTTGGGTGCAGACCCTTTGCTGAGCGTGAGCACTGAGCGTTTTAGTTCCCCAGAGGAGGGAGCTTGTCCGTCCTTGTTTCTCTCTGTCTCTGTCTGTCTGTCTGTCTCTCTGTCTCTTTCGGTTTTGTCTTTGACCCACACCCTGTGGATCTGCACTCAGGAATGATTCCTGGAGGGGAGCCACGTGGGAACCGAGGACTGGACCTGTCAGCCACATGCAAGGGACACCCTACCCTCTGTCCTCTCTCTCTGGCTCAGGTTTCGTGTTTTGTTTTTTGGGGGGTGGGCCATGCTGCTGTCAGGCCTTACTCCTGGTGTGCTTGGGAATCTGCGTGGGGTGCTAGGCATTGAACCTGGTTGCCCCGTGCAAGGCAAAGGACTTTCCCTCCAGCCCCACTCTTGTCTCTTGCGGTTCCCACCCCACAGAGCGCAGCAGGATGGGGTGGGTGGTGGCGGGACCATGGGCCAGGGCAGGGGAGGAAAAGCGGGAAGAAGAGGAGGGAGGGTGAAGAGGACCCGAAGAGGTAAAGCAGCCATCCAGTCTACCGCCATGGAGCTGGGAAGAAGCAGGAATGGAAACACAACCAATGGGCCGGCCTTCAAAGGCCAGCTCAAGGAAGCAGGCCACCGGGCGGGAGTCAGGGCAGCTTCGCTCTGCGGGCGGAGCTCGCCCCTCTGCAGGGGGGTCTCGGCCGGGATCCTGCTCTCTGTGCAGACACGTGGGGTTGCCCTTTTCGGTGAATGACCCATAGCTGTTGGGAGGCCGCCCTGGTGCCCGAAGAAGTCAGAGCTGGCCTCTGGCAGCCCCAGGAGTGGGGGAAGCGCAGGGCCCCGGGCAGGGGGAGAGGGGCCTCTTACCTGCAGAGCTGACAAAGTGGTCTGGGCAGGAGGAGGAGGAGTCTCCGGAAAAGCTGGGGGGTTGTCTGGAGCGCGGCCCGAGGAGATGGTTCCCTGCACTGTCGCTGCCCCGGACTGGAGGCTGGAAGGGACCGCGGGCACCAGCTCACCCTCCTCCCAGGCCCGCGGGAACAGCCCCTGTTCGCCCCACCTGTGCCAGGCCGCCTGCCCCGACCCCCGTGGCCGTACCCGAAAGTGGCCGAAGTCCGCGTAGGTGGGGTCGTAGGTCCGGTGGTGGGCCTCCAGCAGGACGGAGATGGTGCGCTGCTGCTCCTCCGACAGCCGCGGCCGCAGGCTGTCCCTCAGGGCTTCCTCCTCCTTGCGCTTCAGGACCATCGCGCGTTTCCGCTGCACCTCCTCGTCCGTCAGGATGACTGCGGGGGACGCGCGTCAGAGGGGCCGCGCTGCCAGGGGCGCAGGGCGCACGGGGCCACCAGGGGTGCGGGGTGTGCGGCGCTTCCCCGGGGCGCAGGGTGATCGGGGCTGCCCGGGGCGCAGGGTGATCGGGGCTGCCCGGGGCGCAGGGTGATCGGGGCTGCCCAGGGCGCAGGGTGATTGGGGCTGCCCAGGGCGCAGGGTGATCGGGGCTGCCCAGGGCGCAGGGTGATCGGGGCTGCCCGGGGCGCAGGGTGATTGGGGCTGCCCGGGGCGCAGGGTGATCGGGGCTGCCCGGGGCGCAGGGTGATCGGGGCTGCCCGGGGCGCAGGGTGCGAGGAGCTTCCCCAGGGCGCAGGGTGCGTGGGGCCGCCCGGGGCGCAGGGTGCTTGGAGACGCCGGGGTGGGGGGGGGGCAGGGTGCCAGGAGCTGCCTCCCCAGATGGAAAGCTCCCAGGAGGAGCCCCTGTTCCTGGGGACCCCCAGCCCGCTCGACAGCAGAACGCTGGTCTTCGATGTTGAGAAGGCAGGGGAGGGCGGGGAGGGAAAGGTCTGAGAGGTGGGTTGGCTGGATATTAGGAAATCTGCCTTTCTCACGACTGAACTCGATGTCTCTGGCTGAAAAACATGGAAATTCTCTGCACGTTTGCTCTCTCCTTTCTAAGATGATGAGTTTGGAACATCTACACTCTCCGAAGACTCTTGTTCTGGGGCTGGAGCAATAGCACAGCGGGTAGGGCATTTGCACGTGGCCAACCCAGGTTCGATCCCCAGCATCCCATAGGGTCCCCCCAGCAGCACCAGGAGTAACGCCTGAGTGCATGAGCCAAGAGTAATCTCTGAGCATCACCAGGTGTGACCCAAAAAGAAAAAGAAAAAAAAGACTCATTCTTTCTCCATTCAGTGAGTATTTGTGACCTGGTGGAGAAGTAGGACCGACTTGGACCAACTCCTCTGAAAACGGAATGAAGGCCTAGTTCTTCAAAGCAGAAGCTCATTACACATTCATTCTTCTCCACGCCCACAGCACCAAGAGGCACCAGGGTGCACCAGGTGAGTCACGATGGGGCCAGCCACCTTGCTGGAAGCCGGGGCCTGCCCAGGAGACCCTTCCACAAGGCCATTCCCACGCGTGGAACCCAGGCATCCAATCCACTCCCAGCAGCTTAGACTTGGCCTTTCAGCCTCCCTGCAGAACGGCCTCTCCTCTGGCCTGCCCAGTCTCGAAGCTGCTGCCCAAGTGAGGTTAAGTCCTCCTGATGTACCCCTGAGTACCATCACACTGCTCTGACCTGGCAAATTCCCTCCGGTTGTTAGCTGGCGTGAACGATGACGGGAAGCCCCTCCCTTGATCTTGGGTTTATGGGGGCTTCTGGGGTGCTTCCTTCCTCCCTGGGCTGGCGCAGCCGCCCGGGAAGAAGGGGCCGGGAGCAGGGAGGCCTGGCAGCACAGGCGGGCAAACAGACCTCCCAGCCGGGCTTGTAGAGCGCTGACGGCAGGAGTGGGCACTGGGGCCCTCAGCCTGTAGCTACTTGCTCGGTGCTGGTGTTGCCGGCGCATCTGCCCACAGCACTGGGGAGTTTCACAACAGCAGGGAAAGGAACCAGAGTCTGAGTGGGTGGGTGGGTTCAGGGCTTGACAAAGGCCTTCGGTCTCGGTCCAGGGCCCTCGGGGGCCAGGGAGAGAGGTTGATGGGGGGTGAGAAGCGCCCATGGTGGGTGGAATTGGACAGCAAGAGCCTCAGGCACGGCAGGAAAGGGGAGCCTGAGGCAGAAAAATGGTGCGTTCCTTCCACGGCCGAGGTGAGTTTCACCCAGCGGAGACTGGGAGGAGACCAGGCCCAGGCGGCTGACTCACCTCCCCAGGGAACTGCCAATCCTCCTCCCACAGAGGGTGTCTGCTCAGACCCCAGAGGTCAAGTGGGGTGGGAGAGGTGGCAGCAGGGAATATCCCATTCAAGCCCTGCCGGGGAGTCCAGGATCAGTGTCTGGTCTTTCCGGCTCTGGGGAGGGTTGGGTGGCGGCAAGAGACTGAGTATGTGTGGGGCCGGGGCGGGGGGGGGCTGTCTCTGCCAGGCATGCCAGGGGTGTCCGCCGGCAGCCTCCTCTGCCTGGATGGGCCTTGATAACCCTTTGATGTCACTCCCTCGCTCGGAAACTTTTTTTTTTTCTGGATCCTTCCTGCTCATCAAGTCCCAACTGTAGGTGATTTCCCAACTTCATCTCTTCCTGCCTTTCCATCCCTGTCATTTCCCGGTGCTTCCAGCCCGCCCACTTAGAGACCCCTGTGGAGAGTCTGACCCGCTCTCTTCTGCCACTGTCCTCACACCTTAGAGTGCTGATGGGGTCGTTGCACAGTCGTCTCTGGCCATGAAGCCTTTCCATTGCCTTGACCTGCACTGAGCTCTCTTTTCCTTTTTCTTTTCTTTAATTTTCTTCTTTTCTTTTCTCCCTCCCTCCCTTCTCTCCCTTTATCCCCCTCCCTTTGTCTTCCTTCCTTCCTTCCTTCCTTCCTTCCTTCCTTCCTTCCTTCCTTCCTTCCTCTTTTGGTCTTTGGTCTATATGTGGTACTGGGGATCAAACTGGGGTTGGCTATATGCAAGGCATGTTTATGGCTTTTTTCTTTTTTGCTTTTTGGGTCACACCTGGTGATGCACAGGGGTCACTCATGGCTCTGCACTCAGGAATTATCCCTGGCGGTGCTCAGGGGACCATATGAGATGCTGGGAATCTGGGAATCGAATCCGGGTTGGCCGCGTGCAAGGCAAATGCCCTACCTGCTGTGCTATCACTCCAGCCCTTGCAAGGCATGTTTAACCCCTGGACTATCTCTCTGGCCTTGAAATGTCATTTTTTATTTCTGTTGTATGACTAGTTTTTCTCACACATATTGGCACCCAGTTTTCTTTCACTTTGTGGCACCTAAGGTGAGTGAGGGTTTCAGAAAACGCTTGTGTAGACAGATGCTGGAGTCCAGCGTCTCCTTGACCAGCTGGGCTACTTAGTGGCCGGGGCCTCATTGGACAGTTCTTGTGCTTCCTCCACAAAGAGACTAGCCCAGTGGGGCTTCCTGGCCCAATGGTCAGATGGATTGGAAACCAAATGTCATTAGAGATAGCACCTACTGTGTGCCACTCATTGTCCTGGGCTCAGGGGAGAGCAGTGAGTCCAGCAAAGCAAACGGTGACCTCCAGTGTCAGGAATGGGCACTCTCACATGCCAGCCCCCTGGTAACTGAGCAAGGCCTACCCTTTTAATTTAAATAACTGTGACTGACATCTTTTGGTGACAGAATGCCTTGTAATGGAACACCTGTAACATCACAGAACATTTACTGGATGATTCAGAGGTATCATTCTGAACGACTACTGGACTTTGCAAGACTAAGGTTATGACCTCAGACTTGTATAGGGCTGCTCTCTGCACGTTGTGACTCAGCCTGCTATGATCTTGTGTTCTTGTGCATACTCCATAGTTTTCAGTCTTCCCCTCTCAGTGAAACTATGTGCTGTCTCTTCTTGCTGGTGCCTTTCTTCTTACTCATCTGCCTTTCAACTGTTTCTTCTCTGTAAGAGTCACTTTTAATTTGTGCAGAGCTAGAAATCTTAATTATTGGGTTTATTTAATAAAATATAGCATTAATAAAAACATATATATATATATATTTACTGGACACTACCCTGCTGTTTCTTGTTTTGGTGTGTGTGTGTGTGTGTGTGTGTGTGTGTGTGTGTGTGTGTATTCTGGCCCACATCTGGTAATGCCTGGTTCTGTCTTCAGGAGTGACATCTGGTGATGCTCAGGGAACTATACACTGGGGTCACCGCATGCAAATCAAGCACTTTAACCTTTGTCCCCTTTCAAGTGCCTCTTAATGTGAACTAATGTTAACTCACATTATTTAGCCCCTATAACCATCCCTCTGGGAAGGTGCTTTTAGTACTTTTGGTAGATGAGGGAGCTGAAGTCAATGAGGCCATCTAACTTGCTCAAAGACACAGGAACAAGTGTGGGACTGGTATTTGGGTCAGGGAGTGTGGTTCTAGACTCCTTGGTGGCAACTACCCCATCTAATCTCTAATACGGTCAGCTGGGACTGCTCAGAGAGACCTTGGTCATCAGTCACCAAGTCCTAACACAAGATGTGTTCCAATGCCTCTAAAGAATCTGGGGTCTCAGCTCAGGTACTGTCATAGAGTTACGAGTCTAAAGAGTAGGGCTGGAGAGATAGTCAAGAACTTGCATGCTGCAAACCCAGTTAAATCCCTGGCATCTCATATGGTCCCCTGAATCTCGCCAGGAGTGATCCCCGAGTGAAGAGTAGGAGTAAGTAAGGAGTAAGTCCTGAACACAGCTGGCTGTGCCTCCTGACCCCTCCCTCCACAAAGTGAAAAACTAAATGAAGTAAAAAAGTTTGTAAATAATCCATAATATCAATAAAAGAAAAGATAAAAATCATATGATCATATCAATAGATGCAGAGAAAGCATTTGACAAGATCCAGCACCCGTTTATGATGAAAACCCTCGCCAAAATGGGGATAGAGGGGACTTTCCTCAACATAGTTAAAGCCATCTACCACAAACCTACAGCAAACATCATCCTCAATGGGGAAAAACTGACAGCCTTCCCCCTAAGATCAGGGATGAGACAAAGATGCCCACTCTCTCCACTACTGTTCAATATAGTACTGGAAGTACTTGCAATAACGATTAGGCAAGAAAAAGATATTAAGGGCATCCAGGTAGGGAAGGAATAAATCAAGCTCTCATTATTCGCAGATGATATGATACTATACTTAGAGAACCCTAAAACCTCTACCAAGAAACTCCTAGAAACAATAGGCTTGTATAGTAAAGTGGCAGGCTATAAAATCAATACCCAAAAGTCCATGGCTTTCCTATACGCAAATAGTGAAAGAGAAGAAAGTGACATGAAGAAAATAATCCCATTTACAATTGTGCCCCAGAAAATCAAGTACCTAGGAATCACCTTAACTAAGGAAGTAAAGGACCTGTACAAAGAAAACTACAAAACTCTACTTTAGGAAATAAAAGAGGATACGAGGAAATGGAAAAATATCTCCTGTTCATGGATTGGGAAAATTAACATTGTCAAAATGGCAATACTTCCCAAAGCACTGTATATATTCAATGCGATCCCTATTAGGATACCCATGCCATGCTTCAAAGAAATGGAGCAAACACTCCTGAAATTTATATGGAATAATAAGCCCCCACGAGTAGCTAAAGCAATTCTTGGGAAAAAGTAAATGGGACGAATCAACCTACCTAACTTCAAGCTCTACTACAAAGCAGTAATAATTAAAACAGCATGGTACTGGAACAAAGGCAGAGCTGTAGACCAATGGAACAGAGTTCAATATACTGACATCTCCCCCCAAGCATATGATCATCTAATCTTCGATAAGGGGGCAAGAAAAGTGAAGTGGAGCAAGAAAAGCCTCTTTAACAAATTGTGCTGGCAAAACTGGATGGCTGCATGCAAAAAAGTGGGCTCAGATCTCTGCGTAATGCCAGATACAAAAGTAAGATCAAAGTGGATTAAAGACCTCAACATCAGACCGGAATCTATAAGGTACATTGAAGAAAAAGTTGGCAAAACCCTCCATGACATTGAATCTAATGGTATCTTCAAAGATGTCATGTCACTCCCAAGCAAGTGAAAACAGAGATAGACAAATGGGACTATCTTAAACTAAGAAGCTTCTGCACCTCAAAAGAAACAGTGACCAAAATACAAAGACAGTCTACAGAATGGGAAAGGATATTCACTGAATACACATCCGACAAGGGGTTGATATCAAGGATATACAAAGTACTGGTTGAACTCCACAAGAAGAAAACACCCAACCCCATCAAAAAATGGGGCAAGGAAATGAACAGAGTCTTTCTCAAAGAAGAAATCCGAATGGCTAAAAAGGCACATGAGAAAATGCTCTACATCATTAATCATCAGGGAGATGCAGATCAAAACAACAATGAGATATCATTTCACACCACAGAGACTGGCCCACATCCAAAAGAACAAAAGCAATTGGTACTGGCACGGATGTGGCGAGAAAGGGACCCTCCTTCACTGCTGGTGGGAATGCTGACTGGTCCAACTCTTTTGGAAAACAGTATGGACGATTCTCAAAAAATTAGAATTTGAGCTCCCATTTGACCCAGCAATACCACTTCTGGGAATATATCCCAGAGAGGCAAAAATGTATAGTCGAAGTGACATCTGCACCTGTTTGTTCATTGCAGCACTGTTTACAATAGCCAGAATCTGGAAAAAACCTGAGTGCCCAAGAACAGATGACTGGTTAAAGAAACTTTGGTACATTTACACAATGGAGTACCATATAGCTTTTAGAAAAGATGAAGTCATGAAATTTACATACAAGTGGTACTACGTGGAAAGTATCATGCTAAGCGAAATGAGGCAGAAAAAAAAGGGATAGACATAAAAAGATCACATTCATCTGGGGGACATAAAGTAACAAAATAGGAGACTAACACCCAAGAATAGCCGAGATAAGTACTAGGAGGTTCACTCCATGACTTGGAGGCCAGCCGCACATGCTAGGAGAAAAGGCAGCTCAGATAGAGAAGGGAGCACCAAGTAAAGGATGTTGGGAGGATCCTCCCAGGATAGGAGAAGCATGCTGAAAGTAGACTATAGACCAAACATGATTGTCACCCACTGCCTCTTCTGCAAACCACGACACCCAAAAGGAGAGAGAGAACAAAAGGGTGGGAGAACACAGAGGCGGGGGGGGGGGTTGGGGGGTGGGAGGGATACTGGGACTCATGGAGGTGGGAAGTGGGCACTGGTGGAGGGATGGGGACTCGATCATTGTATAACTGAAACCAAGGACAAAAATTTTTACGTCTACAACTGTACCTCGTGGTGTTTCACTAATAAAAATTAAAAAAAAAAAGAGCCATTTATTTATCAAAAAAAAAAAAAAAAGAAGAAGGGGCCCTCTCTGTCCTGGCAGAGGGAGCCTGAGCCCCCAGCCACACAGCTCCCTTAACTCACCTCTGGGGTGTTAAGGCACAGGGACAGCGTGACCCACCCCTCACAAACAGCTTCTTGAGCACTCTGCGTGGAGCCCCGCCAAGCTGGGGTCAGCCCGTCCAGGGCACCCACTTAAGCGCTTCCTTGAGGCACTTCCGCTCAGAGCAGCGGCAGAAACAAGCTCACTGCAGGTGCTAGGCTCCTAGCTTGGCTGGCACTCTGGGTTCCAGACCCCCAGGATGCAGCTCTCCCAGGCTGCCACGATCAGCTGCACCGGGCACAGGGCGGGACGGGACAGCAGGCTCAGTGGCGGAGAGCCGAGGCTCAGAAGTGCCTGGGGTCGGCTGGGGCAACAGCACAGAGGGAAGGACGATGGCCTCGCGTATGCCGGCCCAGGCTCAATTCCTGGCACTACGGATGGTCCTTCGAGCTACCGCTGCCAGAAACGATCCCTGAGCACCAAGCCCTGGGCACCGCTGGCTGCGGCCCCAAACAAGCAAGAAGCCGGTGGCGACGGGGCTGGGAGTCCCCTGGGGATTGCTAGGCGTCTCCCCTGTACCAGCCAGTGTTCCCAGGCCCCTGGTCCACGTAGGGTCTGCTTACTGGCTTGCCTGCAGTGCTCTCTGACCCCGAGGTGGGACCGAGGGGAGGGTGGGGAGTCGGAATCCAGCCGGCTTCCGGCCGTCTAAGAGGAGAGAGCACTTCTCTGGGGACATCATCGAGGCTGCCTTGCTCGGAACTCCTCCAGCAGAGGCTGCCTGCGTCCCACTCGGTTTAATCCGTGCCTCGCGTGGTGGGCTGGAGCCTTAGGACCCCGGCTCCCTGCCCTGGGGGGGTTGGGGGGGTGGAGGGCTGTGAGCCCCGTGGGAGGTGGGGCAGGGCCGTGCACGTGGCACCCTGTTTGTGTCCAGCCCTGTCCCTCCGGAGGAGCAGGCCCCACGAGCCAAGGTGTGAGAGGGCCCAGAGGCAGGCCAGGCCCTGCACCTCGGCCGCTCCAGGGTAAACACAGGAGTCAGACAGGCAGGGCGGGGAACTGGGCTCGGAGCCCTGGGCGAGTTCAGGCCCGCGCTCCCACGGGGTGAGGAGGAACAACAGCCTGGAAAGTTCTGCGAGGGCTGCCAGGGCCGACTGAGGGCCCAGGACCAGGAGTGAGGGGCCCAGGGGAGTGTGAGGGCCGAGGAGACCAGGTGAGAGTCCACTCTGCCGGCTCCTACCAAGGAAGAACCCCTCCCCCCGCCCACCTAGCCGTGCCCCTGATCCACTTCCCTTTTGGTCCTCCACATCTTCCCAGCCCCTCCCTTTGTCCACCCTCTATCCCAGCCCACGGCCCCCTGGCATCTGAGTACCCCTGCTGTGCTTCCTCAGGCACGGCATAGGGCATGTGGACCGGTCCCACGTCCAGGCAGAGGTGGGGATGGACCCAGGCAAGGCGGGGACCAGAGGCTGAGAGCCCTGGACAGCTGGACTCTCTGCCCAGGAGGGCCTGGCTGCCTAGCTGGCCTCCAAGTCCAGGCTGGGTTCAGGGGCCACTCTGATGACCAAGTAACCAGTACTAGAGCACCGGTGCAAAGTGCAGCGATGTTTCCAAAAGCTGGGGCAGAATGTGGAGGTCAGCCCTGCAGGTCCCAAGGCTGGGCAGGGAGTCTATTATTTATTTTATTTTTTTTATTTCTGACCTGGGCCGGTTCACCCCTCCTCAGGCAACCTGGTGGTCCTCCGCTCCCGGAGGGTCACCATGTGGATGCGAACTCAGTGCGGACACCCGATCGGCCAAGCGCACTACAGCCCAGAACTCCTGGACTCAAGCGATCCTCCGGCCTCAGCCTCCCGAGTAGCTGGGACTACAGGCGCGCGCCACCTTGTTGGGTCCCACCCGGCGATGCTCAGGGGTCCCTCCTGCCTCTGCACTCAGGAGTGACTCCTGGCGGTGCTCGGGGGAACCCCATGGGATCCCGGGGATCGGACCTGGGTTGGCTGCGTGCGAGGCAAACGCCCTCCCCGCTGTGCTCTCGCTCCAGCCCCAGGGGCGGGAAGCCTAGACGGTGGCTCTCCTCTTCCCACCTAGATGGGGGGTGGGGGCATTCTGACCCAGGGCTTCCTCTTGCTGACTCTCTCCCTTGGCTTCCCTGCGTAGAGACCCTCAGGCGGGAGGCTGAGGAAGGTGACTCTGAGCACTCACACTCCTTCATCATGCCGATGTCCACGCAGCGCTTGAGCCGGCAGGCCTGGCAGTGGCGCCGGTTGTCCTTGGTGATGCGGCAGTCTCCATTGAAGGGGCACGTGAACAGAGCCTTGCGCTTCATGCTTCGCCTGCAGAGAGAGCACATGGCCCGTGAGGGTCGCTCGCCCTCCGACCTCAGAGCCCGGGCTGCCTTCCCGGCCCCCGACACGTCCATTTGTGTCCCCAAGGCTTGGAGCAGGAGAAGCTCCGCTCCTCTCCATGGTCAACCCCAACACACGCACGTGGCGGCCTCCTTCTGTTGCTGTGACACGCCCCCGATGGTGGGCAGGCTTCGACAGAGCACTCCCCACCCTCCTTAACAGGACTCCACGGGAACCATGTGAGTGAACGAGCCAAGCGTTTGAAAGACAGACTGTGGGGCTGGAGAGAGAGCACAGCAGGTAGGAGCTGCTACCCACTGGGGTTCGATCCTGGCATGCCATATAGTCCTCTAAGCACTGTCAGGAGTAATTCCTGGGCGCAGAGCCAGGAATTCCCTGAGCATTGCCAGGTGGGACCTGGCCACCCCTGCGAAAAGGTAAAACAAACAAACAAATAAAACATAAGCTGAATGGGACCAGAGAGATAGTACAGTGGTTAGGACACTTTCTTTGCACGTGACCAAGCCGGGTTCGATCCCTGGAATCCCACATGGTCCCCCCAGGACTGCCAGGAGTGATTCCTGAGCATGGAGTCAGGAGTAATCCCTGAGCACGGCCGGGTGTGGCCCCAAAACTAAAACCCCCAAACCTGACATCCACAGAGTAAGCCCTCCTTGCCCCGAAAAGGCCACAAGGAGAGGCAATGCAGATGGCAGGGTTAAGGCGTTAGAGAGAACCCCAGACCCAGCAACAGAGACCGGGGGAACAGACCGTGACTCAGATACCCAGGTAACCCACTCAGAGAGAGAAGAGCTCAAGGACAGGCAGCGAGCCTGGCCCTGGCCCTCCCAAAGGTGGAGGAAGCCCGGGCTCCTGAATAGAACCCTGCCCAAGAGCTCGCCACTAGAAGCCGGGTGCCCACAGGTCCCCTATGGAAACTTTTTTCTTTTTGGGTCACACCCGGCGATGCACAGGAGTTACTCCTAGCTCTGCACTCAGGAATTACTCCTGGTGGTGCTCAGGGGACCAGATGGGATGCTGGGAATCGAACCCAGGTCAACTGCGTGCAAGGCAACCGCCCTACCTGCTATGCTATTGCTCCAGCCACCCCCCCCCCCTTAGAAACTCTTGAGTGTGTGAGCATGCATGTGCAGGAGGCTGTGTATGTGTGTGTGTGTGTGTGTGTGTGTGTGTGTGTCTGTGTGTGTGTCTGTGTACCCGCACTTTCAAAAGCTTGAGAACTCACGTTCCTACTTCTTGGGCTTTTTCTGGCAGCTGCCCTCTGTGGGGACGCTGCAGAGAGGACGTCTCTCTGGAAACTTCTCACCACCCTGACCCAGGACGTTCCTCTTGCTGTCCCCAGCCCCGGAGGGGCAGACTTCACCTTTTCAACCTAGCAGCAACTCCTCTGGGAGCTGCAGAGATGTTCGCCTCTCCGGAGAAAGGTGCGAGCCCGTCTCTGCCCAGCTGCTGATGGCACCTGCTCCAGATACCACCTTTAGTTCCATTTCTTGGAGAAACGGGACGCATCAGTCACCTTCACCAGAACTCTCACCGGGATTAGGACAACCATGCTCCTCAGTGGATTCACTGACTCTAGAAAATGGACACGAGGGACCAAACCAAATAAACCGAAGTGATGAGGAGTAGAGGAATGGCCCTGCCAGCAGCCGGACACTCAGATCTTCTGGGGGCCCATTAGTATCCCCTTTTCTTCATAGCCCTCACCTCACAGTGGATCTCTGAGATGAAGAGCGCCATCACAGTGACGATTCGGTAAGAACGGAAGGCTCTCCTGCTGGGAAGTGTGGCTTAGCTCCTTTCATTAAGTCTTCAGTTCTCATCTCTGCGCTTAGGGGCTAAAGCATTTCCAGGGGCCCACTAGTAGACCAGGGCTCTGGGACAGTGGAACAATCAGCCCGGCAGGGGTGTTCTGGCTCCGACCCAGACCCCAAAGGCCAGCTCCCGTCCCCTTAGAGATGACAGAGACTGTCCACCGCTCTGTCCACCTTGATGGAAACAGGAAGGTTTCCTCTCTGAGCCTCTGTCTCTCTGGCGGCTTTCCAGAGAGACAGAAAGTTTGGAATTACTCAGAGGGAGCTAGAACGTCCCTTCCATCAGATCAGTCCACACCTGGGTCTCGCCATTACGACCCTGCCCTCCTTCCTGCCACGTGGTTCTTGAAGCTTCACCTGTGACCACAGTCCCACACTTCACTAAGCCTCCTCGAGCTCCGGAAATTTCTCATTCAGAGAAAACTGAATTTCCCTTTCCTTCTTCTTTTCTTTTTTAACAACCAGGCATTTTGCCCAGGGGTTGACGGCCACATGATCCTCCACCCACGGTCATGTCCAGCTCCGAGTTAGTTCTTCAGGCCAAAGACACAGAGCTGAGCAAACTGGCTCCTGTAGACACGTAATCTGGGGCCCTCTCAGCCCTGAGCCAGGGCCAGTGAGTTTGCTGAGAGCTCAGGAAGGAGGCAGGCCAACGATCTTCAGGGGCCTGCTGCTCCTTGCAGGCTCTCAAGGTCAACTCTGACCCTTAGCCTAGGTCTGACCCTGATCCTGCATAGGGCTTGGGGAAAGTTCTTGTTTGTTTGTTTGTGGCCAAACCCAGCAGTGCTCAGGGCTTACTCCTGGCTCTGCACTCAGGTGCTAGGGATCAAACCCAGGTTGGTCACGTGCAAGGCAAGTGCCCTCCAGACTGTACTCTCACTCTGGCCCTGGGGAAGGCTTTAGAACTTCATCATCCTTCTTCTATTTCTCTGAAGCTCAGACTTCTACCCACGAAACAGTTAGAGGTAGCCACCCAGCCAAACTGCCCTACCACTGGAGTGGACTGATGAGACTGGAGAGGGGTCTAAAAGAATAAGTCATGTGTTAAGAGAAAATACAGAGGGAGTGGAACTGGAGTGATACCACAGTGGGGAGGGTTCCTTCCTTGCACCTCATATGATCCCCCCAAATCCTCCAGGAGTGATTCCTGAGCTCGGAGCCAGGAGTCAGTCCTGAGCACTGCTGGGTGTGGGAAAAAACCAAGAAAGAAAGAAAGAAAGATGGGGGTATGGTGCCGCCAGCAGGTCAATCTATACCTGTGCGGCGAGTGCATCAGCAGCCTGACGGCGCCTTCAGACTTCCAGATACCCTAAAATTGCTGCTGTGCCTTTGGCCAGACCCCATCAACTTGGGGCCAAGTTTACCAAGAAAGTAAATGGCCAAAAGTTAGGTATGTGGGAGACACACTCACAAATCATCTCTGGCTCAGTTATATAATTGGAAGGATGGCCTCTCTGGTTCCTGATTGAACTGCTTAACGGCCATGATCCCAGAGACTCAGGAACAAATCTTGGAACCCAGCAGGTTTTGGCAGAAATCCCTCCAGATTTAATTGTCAAAATTTCGGAATTCCAAAATCACACAGCCACTACTGCAGCCGCATGACATCAGATGTCATTCATAACCAGCAATAGAAAACAAATGGTCTATGGTTGCCTTTGCGGCAGATCTGAGTGTTGGGGTAAAATCCCAAATAATAATGGTGGGTCTGGTGTTGAAATATTGAATGTAATCAAAGTAGAGAGAGAGAGAGAGAGTAATGTGGAAATCATCTGCCCCACAGGTAGGGGGAGGGTGTGGGATGGGGGTATACTGGGGTTTTTGGTGGTGGAAAATGGGCACTGGTGAAGGGACGGGTGTTTCATCATTGTATGACCGAGACTTAAACCCGAAAGCTTTGTAACTGTGCTCATGGTGATTCAATAAATAAATTTATAAAAAGGAAAAAAAAGTAACATGGAGTTCATGCCCAATTCAATCAGCCTAATCAATGGCTGAATAAATAGCAGTACTCCTGTAGCACGGTAGCACTGTCCTCCCGTTGTTCATCGATTTCCTCGAGCAGGCACCAGTAATGTCTCCATTGTGAGACTTGTTGTTACTGGGTGTTTTTGGCATATATAGTACTCCACAGGGAGCTTGCCAGGCTCTGCCGTGCAGGTGAGATAATCTTGATAGCTTGCCGGGCTCTCTGAGAGGGGCAGAGGAATCGAACCCAGGTTGGCTGCATGCAAGGCAAACGCCCTACCCGCTGTGCTGCTGCTCCAGCCCAGCAATACTGTACTCCTACATTACAAAAAAAGAAAGAAAGAAAGAGAAAGAGAGGAAGAGAGAGAGAAAGACGGAGGAAAAACCAATGTTCTTGCGTGTGGGCTGAAGCACAAGATTATTGGGATTAAAGGAGGGAGACCATGATGCAAAGGTGAGGAGAAGGAGGGAGAGATGACTGAGGAAGAAGGAAGAAAGAAGAAAGGAGAGAAAATGGAGGGAGAAAGAAATGTGAAAAAGAAAGAGAGAAAGGAGGAAAGAGAGGACAAAAGAAGGAAAGAAAGGAGGGAATAGGAGGAAGGAAAGAAGGGAGGAATAAATGATGGGAGGAAAGAATGAAGGGAAGAAAGAAAGAAGGAAGGAGGGAAAGAAGGAAGGAAGTAGGACTGTAGAAAGGAAAGAGGGTGAAAGGAAGAAACTAAAGTAGGTAGGAAGGAAAGCAGGAGGGAGGGAGGGAGGGAGGAACGAAGGAAGGAAGGAAGGAAGGAAGGAAGGAAGGAAGAAGGAAGGGAGGGGGAGAGGGAGGCGGAGAGAGGGAGAGACGGAGGGAGGAAGGATAAAAAGAGGGAAAGGAAGGAGAAACATGTAACAAATTCCTCTGGCCAGGCTCCTATCGGACAGCAGGGTTCAGCCTGTGCTTCTTTTTGCTGTTGTTCTTGCTGTTTTTTGTTTTTGGGTCACACGCGGCGATGCACAGGGGTGACTCCTGGCTTCCCACTCAGGAATGACTCCTGGCGGTGCTCAGGAGACCCTATAGGATGCTGGGAATCGAACCCGGGTGGGCCGTGTGCAAGGCTGACGCCCCCCCCGCTGGGCTATCACTTCTGCCCCTCAGCCTCCGCTTTTACCCTTTCCGCCACCTATCCTGAGTCCCACCGGCCTTGC